ATTTTACATTGGTTAGTATATATAAGTCCATGCCACTCTCTCACTTCGTCCCAGCTTACCCTTCCCCCTCCCTGTGTCCTCAAGTCCATTCTCTACATCTGCATCTTTATTCCTGTCCTGCCCCTAGGTTCTTCAGAACCATTTTCTTTTTTTTTTTTTTAGATTCCATATATATGTGTTAGCAGACGGTATTTATTTTTCTCTTTCTGACTTACTTCACTCTGTATGACAGACTCTAGGTCCATCCACCTCACTACAAATAACTCAATTTCGTTTCTTTTTATGGCTGAGTAATATTCCATTGTATATATGTGTCCCACCTTCTTTATCCATTCATCTGTCGATGGACACCTAGGTTGCTTCCATGTCCTGGCTATTGTAAGTAGAGCTGCAATGAACATTGTGGTACATGACTCTTGTTGAATTACAGTTTTCTCAGGGTATTTGTCCAGTAGTGGGATTGCTGGGTCATATGGTAGTTCTGGTTTTAGTTTTTTTAAGGAAACTCCATACTGTTCTCCATAGTGGCTCTATCAATTTACATTCCCACCAACAGTGCAAGAGGGTTCCCTTCTCTCCACCCTCTCCAGCATTTATTGTTTGTAGATTTTTTGATGATGGCCATTCTGACTGATGTGAGGTGATACCTCAATGTAGTTTTGATTTGCATTTCTCTAATGATTAGTGATGCTGAGTATCCTTTCATGTGTTTGTTGGCAATCTGTATATCTTCTTTGGAGAAATGTCTATTTAGGTCTTCTGCCCATTTTTGGATTGGGTTGTTTGTTTTGTTTTTGATATTGAGCTGCATGAGCTGCTTGCATATTTTGGAGATTAATCCTTTGTCAGTTGCTTCATTTGCAAATATTTTCTCCCATTCTCAGGGTTGTCTTTGCGTCCTGTTGATGGTTTCCTTTGCAGCAGTGTGTAGATGTCAATCCCAGACTCCCTAACTATCCCTTCCCCCCACCCTTCTCCTCTGGTAACCATAAGTTCATTCTCTAAGTCTGTGAGTCTGTTTCTGTTTTGTAAATAAGTTCATTTGTATCATTTCTTTTTAGCTATAGTGGCACAATGCGTTAGAATGCAGTACTTACACAGTACTGTTTTATTTTATTATTATGTTCACAAATCCAAGTTCATTTAACTGAGTTCATAAAGCAAGTCAGTGTAAGTCCATCTACAACTATGGAGCACATTTCTCTATCATGAGTGTTTTGGTATCACCATTCGTACACGGAAATGGTAATTTTTCCTCATGTAGGAAGGTATTGCTTTTGGAATTTAAATCAGAACTGCCCTGGCTCAGGACTCTCATGGAAGGCACATCCTAATTTCAGACCAATTCCAGAAAAGCTTCCATTCTAAGGAATCTACCACATCCAGTTCAGAAGCAAGAACTTCTCTCTTTGCTGAGCCCAGCATCGGATTTATGATGGAACTTGCCAGGCAGTCTGCACTGCTAAGATACTGTTAGGCTTCCAAGGTTATGGAGCCAAAAGCTCGAGCTCTGATTTCTAATATCCAAGGTATTCCAGCAGCATATTTTTCTTGACAGAGGAGATTAAAGCAAAAAGTGCAGTCTGGGGCTTCCCTGGTGGCGCAGTGGTTGAGAGTCCACCTGCCGATGCAGGGGACACGGGTTCGTGCCCCGGTCCGGGAAGATCCCACATGCCGTGGAGCGGCTGGGCCCGTGAGCCATGGCCGCTGAGCCTGCGCGTCCGGAGCCTGTGCTCCGCAACGGGAGAGGGCACAGCAGTGAGACGCCCGCGTATCGCAAAAAAAAAAAAAAAAAAAAAGTGCCCTCTGAATGTTTCTAGTACTGACAGAAGAAATTATTTTATTTGGCTACTGAGTTGATTACTCATATTTCAAAAAAGAAATTATAAGCAGCTTATAGTAACTTTTAAACTCTCATGCTTGGGGTAGCTAAAAGTAAAGCAGTAGTAAATAATAAACAAATCTGTGATTTGTGCTTTAATTTAAATTTTTATCTACACAGTAACAGATTGAGTAGTGGGTCCTTGATCAGTTATATCAGCTTCACTTTTTGGTGTGAAATACATCCAACATTTTATTAAATCTAGCAGAACTTCTTTCTCTAGAAGATATCATCCTTAAGTAGTTAGTTCTATAAAAATGCCTTAAAAATAGCCAATTATATTGTGAATTCAACAAACAACTGTTTTTCAGAGCACAAAACTAAAAATCAAAGTACTAGACATAAATATAGCAAACGTTTGATCTCTAGAGCACATATCTGTGCAAGCTATGGTTCCACAGAAGCTGTAAAAGGAAAGAATTAAAGAGCCACAGGAAGTCATAACTCTAAAATAAGAAGCGTAGCAGCAGTCAAACAAAGAGGCTTAAAACAATGAGATTAGAGGGCTTCCCTGGTGGCACAGGGGTTAAGAGTCTGCCTGCCAATGCAGGAGACATGTGTTCGAGCCCTGGTCCGAGAGGATCCCACATGCCAGGAGCAACTAGGCCCGTGCGCCACAACTACTGAGCCTGCACTCTAGAGCCCGCGAGCCACAACTACTGAGGCCCGCACACCTAGAGCCCTGCTCCACAGCTTCTCCGCAGTGAGGAACCCACGCACCACAGCGAGGAAGGGCCCCCGCTCACCACAACTAGAGAGGGCCCGCGCGCAGCAACGAAGACCCAGCGCTGCCAAAAAAATAAAAATAAATTTAAAAAAGAGAGAGAGATTATAATCTCATTAACTCATGTTGGAAAAAAATGATATATTTCCCTTAGGCCATTTACAATTTTAAAACTAGATATACTGGGCTCTATCAATTAAAAAAATTGGTATTTTTGGTAGCTCAAAATTAAGAGAACTCTCATTAGCAGAATAAAAAGAAAGCCTAAAAAATAAAAAAAAAAAGAAAGCTGTTCAGCTATGATCTTAACACAGAAGCAATACTTTTTTTTTATAGAACCTTACTTTTTTTCTACATTCTAAACTAGAGGTTAAGAACATTTCTTCCATCAAGGTGTATTTACATTAAATTTCTTTTGACAAATAAAACAGAATTTAGTCTTCATTCAAAGGAAACTTTCATAATAAGATGCCATTTGCTGAGAATAAATCATTCTTCAAATCTACCTTACACATAACATGAAAATCTTCCAGTGGAAGAGACAGAACTGGAGGAAGGGAGATGCAGAGTGTAGCAGAGAGAAGATGGAAAAAAGTAGAGACCAAAGACTTCAGATAAAAAGATATAATGCTTTACACTTAACACAGAAAATGGCAGACACAAAATGTGATGGGCCATAGTTAAAAGAGACCTCGACCCCCTCCCTTTACAGATAAGCTCAGTGCCTGCAGTGCCCAACCCCAAACCACACAGGTAATCAGAAATCCTATCAAGTGATCCCAAGCCTGCTGCCACTTCCACTTCTGAACACCATATTGATTGGATAAGAAACACTTTCTATTCTAGAAAGTAGAAAAGTGTTGCATCTCACTTTATAGATCAAAAAGTTCTACTTTCCCAGAATAAGGTCCCCAATCTCATGGTCTATAAGAACACTGCCCCCAAAGATTCTTAAACATCTTCACTTTCATAATTATAGACAGAAAATATTTCTTGGTAATTGTGGGTCATATTAAATCAATGTATAAATCCAGTTTATATGAATTTTTATGATGTCAAATGGATGAGGAATTTTTAAATTGAAAAATGATTGCATTTTTAAAGTGAAAGCTGTATCTACCCTTTTATTCATGAACCAAGACTACATGCTACTCACAAATACTTTTCATTCTTTGAAATTTTAATGATAGATCGCAAACTGTTATTTTTGAAAATCAGACCTATTGAACTCCTTACAAGGGCACCAATGCTTCCCACCCGATATGACACAGTAAACTGTTTAGAAATAAAGTAAAAAATAAAACCTTTCACAGTCATTACTATTTCACTTGTGGAATGTTTATAGACCTATGCATAGTTATCAACTAGGAATCACTGTATTTGATTTCTGTATCCTGGTGAACACCCTTCATATGAATTCACAGCTGAAACCCAACATTGAGAGCAAAGCCCTATTTCCCTGCCAAAACTTTCATATTGAAGAAGTAATGAAAAACGGAGCATTCCCTCTCCACTCATCCTTTCAAGAAAATACCACTTACTATAATATTCATAAAGTGAAAACAAAGTCCTTTTTTGTCCATGGATTGGTAAGACTGAAATACTAAATGTAAAAACTGATCATTGGGAATCAGGAAAAAGTATATTTTAAAAGCATTTAAAAAATATTTTAGTTCTTATCTAAAGCATAACATTATGACTAACTGGGCATCATGCCTATCTCATTTCAAAGGAGGAGAACCCGGACATTCTTCCCTTTAAAGCCTTCCTTTATATTCTTAATGACCAAAAGCTTTATATTGCAAGGTAGTGGCTGTTTAAGATAGCATATCTACAGAGAAAATTTAAACTTTTTGTTAGAAAACAATATGTTAAGGAAAGTGAAGTTTAAACTAGAGAGGAGAAATGTGTAAACAGGGAGTTTGAAATAGGTTGAATACAGCCGTGGCAGTGAATACCCTACTTAACTGAAAAATCTTAATGGTGCTTCTTCAGGGCATGATAAGAAAAGCAGACTGAAAAAGTACTGCTGACTCTGAACACTTTTTCCTCTATAAGGGCCTGTCTGACCTTAAGATAAAGCAGGGGAGACATGGAAAGTTCATGAAGAAGCATGATATAGATACCTGCCGTTTACACACTCAGAGAATAAAACATTATATTTTCAGATTTCAAACAAAATATCTATGATTTTTTTCAACTGACAAGGTAAGGAAAAGTGAATAAAGTTGACTTGATACTTTCTCCAGGTAACTCATAGACTTAGGAAACAGAGACTTAAGTACACACTAGAATGGCTTATTTATTTACTTCAGAAACTAAGGAAAAGTTACTCTGCATATGGATGTCGTACACTTAGAGGTTTAGAAACATCGCAAATCCCACACTGAAACCATGAACTAAAACACGCCTCTACATTTATCCAAGTTCCAAGACAACGGGCCCAAATTTCTTTAAATCTTAACTGTAATTTAGAAGAGGGCTCCCGCTAAGATTTCTGGTGAGAGTGTTACACATTCCTTGTGAAGATCTGCCACTCACCTGTAGTGACATCATGTCAGGTCGGTACTGCTTGCGAAAGCCCAGGTCATACATGAGGAATTTCAGCATTTCAAAGGCTTGTTCTTCACTCATGTGCAGAAGCAGGACTCCAGCCACAAAGCTGATCCCCTGACAGTAACCCACTTCTTTGTCCAGCAATGAGTAGGCTTTCAAGAGGTTAAAGAGAGAGAGCTGCCCTGCCCCAAGCTGTGCTGAAAAGTAAGGATGAGTAGGAAATGTCCTCCCTGCAGAAGAAAAGAAAAATATTTTTGAGATGACCTGATGCTTTGGAGACCAGAGTGAAATTGCAATTCAGTGATTTCCAGGAATAAATAAACGCTCTTTTCCAAACTACTGAATGCTGCTCGGAGCACCCCTCTAACTAACAGTCTCTCTCCCTCTAGCCAGTCCCAAGTCCTACCTGCCAGACCATCACCCCATCTCCATGTATATGATAGGGGAGCAAACATTCAATGCTAACCAGCGCTTCTTTTTAGGAAAAAAAATTCCACAAACAAATCAAAGACATATTCAGGAGAGATCCCAGGAGAACAGAATATAAAACTTATTCTGACTATAAATCAAGGCTAATTCTAAGTTCACATAAAAACTACCTGCTAACTGAAATCAGAATTCTACAGGAGGTATCATATGATTTAGAAAGAAATCTTAGTGGTCCATAGCAGACTCCTTTCTGCTTTTCTTGTATTATGACACTAGAGGGACTTCCTAGGGTTGCTTTGTTTTACATTCAGCCTATCATTCAGAAAATACTTTTTTCAAATATTTTTGGCTTTGTTTCTTAAACTACTTCCATGAGCCACGTAGACCTCTTTTCTTTTTTCAGTATATCCAAGAAGGTCAAGGATAGTGAAGGGTCAAGCTGATTTTAAATAAATTCCCCTCTAAAATTCACCTCTGTGTACAAAATTACCATAGAGACACTTCAGCAAGCTAGTCCCGGATTTTCTAAAAAGTTGGTACTAAACGCTGAAACAAACCCATCTTCACCACCAAAGCTGTGTACAGTGCTTCGGGACTTTCCTTGTGCCATGAAAATGAAGGGGATGTTAACTTCCTTGTGAAATGATTACTCATGTCAGTTAGAACTTGTAAGAAGGCCAGATTTTTAAATGTTTCCCACCAGATATGCTTAAAAGTGATTTTTCACCTAGGAACTGATAAGATTAATTCTGCAGAGCAAATAAGGGGAAGATATGAGAATATAACAAGAACACACTGAGGAAACACAGATGGCTACAAGCAAAGTCAAATAAGCAATTTTTAAAATTATCATTTTACTTTCTCACTTAAAATGCTTGCTACAGAAAACTATAAATATACCGTCCGTCCGTGACATTAGCTCCATTTTTTTCCGACCAGCCTTTTCCCTGTAATGTGATCTCACCATCTCCTTCTCTTTAAGGATATCTTGACTAGCTCTAAATACGACATCCCAATTTCTAGTCTCATCAATTTCCGGTCACAGAACCACCGATCTGCAGAGGCCCATAGTTCACTGTCCTTATTTAAGAGACAGGATTGAAACTCAGAAGCAAAGTAATTTGCTTAAAACTACTGTTCAGTGATAGAATCGGGACAAAAACTGAAGTTTTCAGTTTCTCTGTAAAATTCTCCATTTCAATTCTATTGGGCTCAAAAACTATTAACTGAGTTGGCCTTTTCCCAACAAAAGCTGTTTGTCATCCAAAAGGAGCAGAGGTCCGTTTTGGCCTGTGATTTTTATATATCCTAAAATAAGATGAGCCTGAATTAAAAGTAATCCCTTGTTTTCCCAAATGGGCTCAAATAACGTATCTGGCCACCTTAAATATATCAACCTTTAGGAATACAGATGAAATAATCCAAATGTCAATGTACAATATTTAATCCAGTAAGTTAGATATTTTAAAAGAATAAAATATATTAATCTAGAGAAAAATTAGAGACATATACTTTTTAAAATCACACCATTTTTACTTTCCATAAGTTATTTGAAATTCAGCGTTTAAAAGGATGACTTTATGATGCTGCCACTGGAAATGCACATAACATTAGGACAGCTAAGTTTTCTTTCATCCTATAAGGATGTATTCATGATTTCCACAACATAACCACATATTGTATTGATTCTTAAAGGCTTACTCCAAAGCTTGTTTTCAGCAATATGTCCAGGAATACTTAGTAGACCTTTGTTAAATTTTCTGGTGCCCCTTTAAACCTATTCTAACCTATTTCAAGACCAGTGTTGACCAAGCTAATAATTATCTATCCCAAACAAAAGTCAGTTGTTCGAAAAACAGGAACTGAGAGCACCCAATAATATGACCTTTACAATGATTCAAATACAAGATTTTTCAGAGGACAAGTCTGAGGATGAAAACTTCACTTTATATTCAAGCATTTAGGGTATCTTCAACCAGACATAAGGCCAACTTGCCCGCAGGAAAGGACAAAGCCAGAAACTCTGCAGACCAATAGTTTGTCTTTATCAAAACTAAAAACAAATAGAAAACCCCCAAAAACTCAACAAAAGGACCTATTATTTACTTTTGTAAATTATAATCAATATGGCAAACATACCTAAATCCACGAGAATAGCATGCTGCTGAACCGTGAGCTGCTTTAAAAGCTCTTTATAGGATGTGTCAGGAGGTTGTTGTTTATTAGGCAATCTGTGTCTTAGACGATACTGCAAAGCTAGGAACTGCCAGATTTCTCCTCGTCGACTTTTGGGAACACCTACAGTCAAAGAGATAAGAAAGCAAGGTCTTGAACACTGGAATGAAGGTGCTAAATCACAGTTGATTAACTATGTAATGCATGAAAATAGGCAGCTCTACTGTCCTGCGTTCCACCCTATAATCACACAGTACGATGTAGTGACAGAAGCATATTTTGAAAAGTTTAATCCTGTAGCTGGTGTCTTGCAAAAGAAAACCCTCAAATAACAAGGATAATAATGGCAATATTAACAAGAACAGCTGCCACCACTGATTGAGAGCCTAATACAACATTTATTGAGGACAGTTAGTTTCTGAGCATTGTAATTACAGAAACTGCACCTAATTTATTCACAGGTGCTCAGAAAACAACCTAATGAGGCAGGTAATTACTATTATCTACACTTTACAGATGGCGAAGCTGAGGCAGAAAGAAGCTAAGTAACTTGCCCAAGTTCTCACAGCTAGTGCAGTTTAGAACTCTAGTTTCAGAGGCCAAATTCTGAAATACTGAAATGTATTACTGCCTATTTTCACCTTTTATTTGGTTTGAAGCTGGTAATAAATGCTAATATTCATACTCTGATTTCTAAATAGCTGTCATTAAAAAGTAACTTTGTAAAAAAGAATTAAATAGCATTCTTATATGGCCCACAAGAAAATGAAATAATAAAAATGGTAAGTACAATATGAAGGCAGTGCTCCAGAACATCATTCAGCCTTTGAGAAGAAAATAGCTAGCATAATTGCTATATTCATGTATAATGAAACACTAACTCCAGTCTGCTTGAAAACCAAAACAAGCAATTTGAAGTATGCTAAAAGTATGTTTTTTTTTATGCCAAGGGACATGAAATACAGCACTGGGAGGGACAGAATTCAAATCTGTACAGTGCAGGCAACTTTATTTCACTGTTTTCAGTCCAAAAAGACTAGATATGGAATAGGTTCCTGAGCTCCAGCTGGGTAGAGAAAGGTATAATGGCACTGATCTCTTTGGGATGCAATGTAACAGTCTGCAGAAGCTCAAAGTATTATTGTCCAAAAGGCATAACTCAGGCTCACGAACATGAATTCTAAGGCCCTCTACAGGGTATACCTCCAAACCACCTTTTTATAGTTCCATCACCTCCCGTTCCCTGCCACACTAAGTGTATATACTAAGTATCTAGCTATACTCAGTGTAGGGCCATAAGAAGCTTATGGTGATTTTCACACTTCCAGTTTCTTGTTCCTACTGTTGCGTTTATGAAACTCCAAGCTCCTCCAGTTGATTGCCTAGTGTATCTCTACTTGTCTTTTTTTTTTTCTTGCAGTATGCGGGCCTCTCACTGTTGTGGCCTCTCCCGTTGCGGAGCACAGGCTCCCGCACCGGGGCACGAACCCATGTCCCCTGCATCGGCAGGCGGACTCTCAACCACTGCGCCACCAGGGAAGCCCTATTTGTCTTTTAAGGATGAGCCTGAATACCATTCTTCTGCAGAAACTCTCCCTAACATCTCTAGGAGTAAGAAGTCCCTTTCCATATGCTATATGACTCAGACTGCACCATTACCATATTGGATTACAGTTAGCACTATACTGTATGTTTGTCTAGTTTCCTCACTTAGATGGTGAGCTCCCTGAGAATAGTTAGCATACTTTCATCTCTGTATGATGAAGTCCAAGAATATACCTCTCTACTCATATATTTGTTGAATGAATGAATGAATGAATGATCTTGTGCAAAAAGTCATTTTTAGAGGGTAACTTTCATTAGCCCATTAAATGAATCATTGATAACAGGAGAGGGCTGTCTTGTTATCCATCCAGTAACAATTCTACAAAAAAGTAATTCACTTTAATTAAATATTTATTGAGCATCTAACATATAGCAGAGACTAGAGCATGGCACTGAGGATACCTCATCACTGAGAGATGAATAAATCCATTCTCAGGAAAATTAGTCTCATTCATTCATTCAATAAATAACTTATGCAAGATGCTCTCTTAGGTGCTAGGAGTATGGGGGGTGGAGTGAGAAAACATGAAACAGATATACACATAGATACAAAGTTATAAATTATCATAAGCACAATTAAAGGGAAAGAATCATGAGAAAGAATAATAAAACAAAACTAATTTACTGGGGGAGAGGGGCACTCTGAGGAAATGGTATTTGAACTGAGAGCTGAGAGATAATACGATTCTCCAGGCTGGGAGTGTAGGCAGCAATCACTTTGGGAAGAAGGATGTACGGAGGCCCTGAGAGGTGCAGAGAAAGAGAGGGACAAAGGAGGAGGGAGAAGAAGATGAGGTGGAAAGAAAAGGAGACGGGAAATGGGGAGAAGGTAGAGAGGATGGAAGAGGGAGGGTAGGGAGAGCTGGAGCATCCCTGCAAGAAATAGCCTGTGCCAGACTGGGACCCAAAGTAGTTAGCATCCCTGAAGCACAGGCTACAAGGCAGGGGAGGTTAAAAAGTGAGATGAGGGCCTCCCTGGGGGCGCAGTGGTTGAGAGTCCGCCTGCCGATACAGGGGACACGGGTTCGCGCTCCGGTCCGGGAGGATCCCACATGCCACGGAGCGGCTGGGCCCGTGAGCCATGGCCACTGAGCCTGCGCGTTCGGAGCCTGTGCTCCGCAACGGGAGAGGCCACAACAGTGAGGGGCCCGCGTACCGGGAAAAAAAAAAAAGTGAGATGAAAGATGAAGGAGAAATCATGGAGGGCCTTGGGCACAATGCTGAGAAGTTTAAACTCTGTTCTATAAGAAATGGGAAGATGAACACCCCCAAAACATGTTTGAGTCATACCAAAGAACAGTATGCTCTACATCTCACACATTCTATTAGCCACTATTTTGTCTCCCAAGTAATGCAGTCAGCGAAAATCTCTGGGATTTCCATATCTTCAAGGAAAAAAACCATGTATCAGGTTTGTAAGTGTAGCATCTTACAAAATTAATTTTAATTTAAACTTAATTGGGCAACAGTTTCACATTACCATAGTCTTTTAAAACAAGATTCATGATCAGGTTATTTTGGGTACTTTGGGATCTTTATTTATGCAGGTCATAGAGATTCTCATTTTAATACAGTTAATCTGAGTCACAGAAACTGCGTCTAAGCAATTCACATATTAGTTTTAATTTTAAATTTAAGACGTTTAAATATCAGCCATTTTATATGACAGAGCAGAAATGCAATATAAGGCTAAATAAAAGCGTTTTTCTAAAATAAATAAAAGAATGGATGGTAGGAAAACTAATTGCTAATAATATATATCTGTACAAACATGTACATGAATATACACATATATTTATATTATAAATAAACACTTCTGAGCAAATGACAAATGAGTCAAGTTTAAAAGCCTGAGATATTTTTACGGATATGATCAAAGATTTGTACTAATGCATGTGATCTTTCCTTGGCAAACAACAACACTGAGTTGAAACAGCTGGTGAAGAGGCAGGAAACTGTAGAAAAGGTGCCTGCTGTCTCCTCAGGGACAGAATATCTCCATTAGTACCACGTGCTTACCAATACAGTCACCAACTACAGGCAGAAACAAAGTCCTCTCCTTTTTTATAGGCAAAGCACGAAGAGAAAATTATGCCTAGGCTGCACGAATCAAAAAAATTTCTGAAGCTTTTCAAAAAAGAAAAAAGATTGATTGAGATGATCCAAGATACCTTCTTTAAGAGAAGTATGAATATCTTCCATATCACATCTGATTTTAGTTCTGCAGTTTAACAACTTCTTATCCCAGGTTATTAAGACCTCCTTCTGACATACTCCAACTTCTTCATAATCCAATTTAATTTTTCTGGACTGGAGTTCATCTCTGCTTGCTAAGGAAGACAGAATTTACATAAGACCTATATGCTTTTAAAACACAGTATTTGTAATGTTTCATTGCATTTGTAAAACCATACCAAATAACATTTGCTCAAAAAGAAGACTTAAAAAAAAAACTGAGGATACATGAAAGGTTTCTTAAATTTTGAGCCATTTCATGTAAAAAAAAAAACAAAAAACAAAAAACACAAGGAATAACTTCCTGAGGAGCTTTTACTCGGTGTGTTACAGATGATAAGTCTTCTAAGCATAAAAAACAAACCATGTTTGAAACATCAATTTTTTGACAAATGTAATAGATAACCACAGAAGTGACAGCTTGCATCATTTTAAACACCATTAAAATGTTAATATTTTATATATGACATATGAGCAAACAATGCCTCATGCTAACCTTGATTTGAGAAATATTTGACCATGATAACCTGATACATTTTTATAACTATTTCCAGAGTTACCAATACTGCCCTTAACAACAGTAGGTTATACATTCCTGTGTCCATTTTTAATAACCTTTAAGAGGAAAATTCATTTTTCTGAAGCTAACACTACTTTCATTTTTCAGAATAATACAGAATTTTCTCTCATTTGATGGTCTAAAATCTAAGCCCAGAGTTCATTAAAAGAAATGCTTATAAAACAAACCACTATCTGTATTTGGTCTTTATCTTGAAGAATCGATTCCAAAAGGGGAGAAGGGAGAAAAAAACATGTGAGTGTATTTCTTCTCTTTCATTAGAACCACACTGAACAGGAGCCTCTCAGAGTAATCTGTATCCATTCAAGCTCCAGGGCTCAACCACCTTACCTGCTGCAACACAAATCTTTGTCATGCATCCAAAGTCCTCGACAGCACAAAAACAATAGCAGAATGAGTATTACTCTTAACTTAGTGTTTGAAGCCATTTCAAAAGAATTAAAATATCTTACAATAGACTGCTATTCCAACAGGCCAGTAAAAATGTCTACTTAAAAGTCCAGATATAATCAAAAGAGAAATCGCACTACAAAAAATTCCTCCTAGATACCACTAGATGGCTTTCTAACAGTCTAGCTTTGCTTCTCGATATTTGCTTTATATTTCTCTATGATCATCAAGCAATTTTTTAAAAGTTAATAACAAATATCATTCTAAATATAATCCTAAATATAACTTTATTAATGATGTTTTTCCACAATGGACAAAGAATAAAATTTCCTCAGATTTTTTTTTTCTCCAACCTTCTCTAGATTATTCATTTAAAATAATAATAGTCATCTGCTATGTGCCAGTCATAGGCCCTGAGGATAAAGTGCTGAGTAAGAGCAGTTAAAACTTGCCCTGGTTAACTAGGCAAGAGCAAAGAACCATGAAGAAATGCTCATCCAGTAGATTAATTTTTTTTTTTTTTTGCAGTACGCGGGCCTCTCACTGTTGCAGCCCCTCCCGTTGCGGAGCACAGGCTCCGGACGCGCAGGCTCAGCGGCCATGGCTCACGGGCCCAGCCGCTCCGCGGCATGTGGGATCTTCCCGGACCGGGTCACGAACCCGCGTCCCCTACATCGGCAGGCGGACTCCCAACCACTGCGCCACCAGGGAAGCCCCCATTAGATACATTTTTAATGGGTTAAGCTATTTTTTGTGTTTGTTATTTAAGTACAGAAGTAAATATAGGACCGACAGAGGTTTCTGATCATATATTCTAAATGTCACCTCCTCTCTTATTCTGTCAATTTATGTAGTCATATATAATACACAGAATACACAGAGTCATTTGTATCATCCATTTCCTTATACTAACACATATAGTTGAGAAATACTATGGCGTACTGGGAAAAAGCCCAAGAACCATGATAAATAAACTGGAGTTTTAATACTTGTTCTGCCAGTACACCACTGTTGGACCTTAGGTTAATTTCCTTAGCCTCCCCAAGCCAGTCACTAACTCAGCTGCAGAATGAAGAATGGAGCTAAATAATCTCTAATCTCCAGTTCAAACAGTCTATGATTCTAAAATTATCCATTAATATTTAATATAATATTCTACTGTACATATTCCCAACTGTTAATGAAATACAATTTCATGCTTTAAATGTTTTAAGGAAATCATAACCATCTTTTTTCAACCTCTTTTTCTGTTTATGCATTAGTTCAAGATATACTCAACTACAAAAAACATAAATTCAATTCCTTTCAAAATCTATGGAAGCTTGAGTAGGCATACCATTTATCACATCAAACTTTTAAAAGCTATGTTAATAACAATTAATTGCATTTTTAACTTGAAAGAAAAGAAGATTTATTTCCTAAGGACGTTTAAAAATCGTATGTACTTTTCATTCTGCTAAGAACATAGCAATAATATATATAAGAATATAGCTGTTGGGCTTCCCTGGTGGCGCAGTGGTTGAGAGTCCACCTGCCAATGCAGGGGACACGGGTTCGTGCCCCGGTCTGGGAAGATCCCACATGCCGCGGAGCGGCTGGGCCCGTGAGCCATGGCCGCTGAGCCTGCGCGTCCGGAGCCTGTGCTCCGCAACGGGAGGGGCCACAACAGTGAGAGGCCCGGTACCGCAAAAAAAAAAAAAAGAATATAGCTGTGCCCTAGCAAACTAAGAAAATATTAAAAACTTAATTGAGCAATAGGTATAGTAAAAGGAATCTTAAGGCAGGTGATGAACACAGAAATGTGAATATCTGCCTGTACTAAAAAAAGGGTTTTTTTTGGAAGACAGCATAATAAAAGCAAGTCAGAGAAAAATCTAGATTATACATTTTCCAATAATCTTAAAAGTCAAAGGCCCACTTAAGCTAAATCTTTCATTTCATAAATGTGAAAAACAAGGCCCTTTTATGTTAATGATTTGCCCAAGATAATGGCATTAATAAATTTTTCAGATTTTGGTACCATCTGCACATCTCCCTGTCTATGATTCTATCAGCACTGGCGTAAATAACATTATTATTTTAAAGTCTGGAAAACACATTCTAAAGCATTTGGTATGCATAAACTTAGCAATAAAGCACTACAAATAGCACAATAGCTGTTATAAATTATCCATTTATAAATTTAATGATTTCAATATGATTTTTTAAATAGAAAATTCAAAAAACAGTAACAAAACATAGAAACCTTGATTTGATAATAGGTGATTGGTTGGAATGGATACAATATAATTTATTTGAAATAGGCATATTTATCATATTATGAATACAATTAGCCTGAAATTTGAAAATCATATTCGAAAAGAAGAGAATTTGCTTTTTCATATTTAAGGGTTTTTTTAAAGTAGTACATGATGATATTAAACTTTCAGTCATATTAAACACATTGACTTCATTATATACATTCTATTACCTTCTATTATTCTATCACCCAAATATACTCAAAGGATGTCTGATGTTTTAAATCTGCTAAACAAAAATGCAAATTTCTTAAGCTGGTCAGCTTCCCATGTCATAACCACCTCACGAAATAGCACTAAACAATTTTAATCAGTAGATATTCTGGTAAAAGTGTGTATACAGTCCGAGAATGAGTTTGAGTGTGTGTGTGGCGCGGGGGGAATAGTATTAACAAACGACACCTTTAGATTATAGTATCATATCATATGATATCATAGTCCTGTTTGAATGGCTAACCTTCAAGTTTCTGGTTTTCTTTTTCCATTCGAAGCAACAGGATTTGCTGGTGTATAGCTTTTCTCCACAAACTCCTCAGTTCCTCCGACTTTTTTCCTTCTTCAGCCTTTTCTGGGTCATCGTCACCAGACACGAATATAAGCAGCGGTTCCTCCTCCATGGGTGGGGCAAGAGGGGACAGTGGCAGCAGCTCACTCGTGTCCAGTCCATCTGCAGAGAAGAAAACAGTGAGAGGCATTCCTAAGTCGTAGCCCAGACTACAGAAGTTCTCTCTGGACTTGACGCTCTCTCCTCCTATATTCCACTTTTAAAGTTGTTCACAAAGCTGCTCTCCCAGTAACTGTCCGTTTCTGGAACTAATGATTTAAGTAAATTCGCTAGGCTGAATTCCCCTTCCAGATTTCCCTCTCCTAGTGAAACAAAAGTATATGTAATTTCACCACTTCTTCTTTCCGCACAAAATGACCTATAAGATAGGTGCTCTAAAATGACCTGGCCTTCCCCCACAGTTCAACACTTCTGCAATTTTTCTGGGTGTGTTCTCTGTGCAAAACAAAAAGATTACATCAGTAAGCATTAGTGACCTCCTAAGGTCTACACCTACCATCAGAATCTGTCAAGAGTAAAGCAGCTGAGCGGCTCTGGTCATGGCTCAGCTCAGCACTGCTCATTCCTGCAACACTATAACCCAATTTCCGGAGCTCATTCTCTCCCTCCATTCTAGACCATCTTTTTCACGGTTGCCAATTATTTTCCTATTAACAATCACGATTTTGTGTCTTAAAACATTTCAATGGATGCATATATTCCATAGAACAAAGTCCAAACTCCCGGGAATAGCACATAGACCGCTTCAGACTTTGACCTCAAGTAACCTTTCCAACTTCTTGTCTCCATCTGCCATCTGCTCTCATGATGCTGAATTTCTCATGACTCCCTGGCCCACAAAGTTCTCTGCAATGACTCTAGAGCTTTTCTCGTCCCTTTTTCTGAAAGATGCTTCTCCCAGCAATGAGTTTAAAGAAATACGTAACTTTTGTGTAAAGCTTTCTTTGACCACCCCAGACAGAGTTAATTTTATCTGTAGAAATGTTTTTTCCTTGTTTTTTTTTTTCTTTATTAATTGACCTCGGCCCTTACCCTTATTATTTACTTTCTTAATAAATAATTTTTTTTAAAAAATCTTACTTTATGGATTGAATACTTAGCACATTTGAATTTTGGCTTTCTTGGTTTTAGAACTGCCCTTTAAATACCACACAATTTTGATTTGTAGGGCTCTGATCATATCTTCTTCCTTCTAGTTTCTAGGAATACAGTTTTCAGCCTCCAAACACATGAAATTTTTCAGTTGTCCTCTAATTCTTTCTCCCTTCCTCCCTCCCTCCCTCCTTTCCTCCCTTCCTTCCTTCTTTTTGCAGGGTGATCAGAGAATATAGTATAAATAACACGATTATCTGGAATTCATTTAAAAATCTTTATAGCCAAGTACATAAATATTTTTTACGACTGTTCCATGTGTGCTGAAAATGAATGAACTTTCTCTATAGGCGGCAAGGTTCTATACAAATATCAGATCAAGCTTGTTTAATTGTGTTTCTCAAATACTATCTACATTTAATTTCTCTATATTTAATTTTCAGAGAGGAATGTGTTAAAATCTCCCATGAGAGTTATTTATCTATTTCTCCCTCAGATTTTGCTTAGTGTTATTTTCTAGCTCTCCAAGCTATATAATTATGAGCGTTCTCACCATTGTTAAATCTTTTTGTTTATTGGTACATTTACTTTGCACCTTTGGGCATTTTGCTTTAATTTCTTCTAGGTCTGATTTGCAAAGAGAGCTGCCAGTGCTCTCTTTTGATTGATGTTTGCCTGGTGTATCTGCATCCACTTTTCTATTGTTAAATATTTCTATGTTACTTTGTTTTATGTGTGACTCTTGTAAAAGAATGTTGCTTTTCTAATAATAAAAAAATCTATGACTTCTTTTCTATCACTGTGCTAGTTCCCTATGCATTATGAAGCAGGCCCCAAAACACGTTTTGAAAATTCATTCATTCATCCATTCATCCATCCATTCAACATGATTTGCTGAATGTCTAATAGGTTCTAATGATATCTGACACATTAACCACTATATCGGATATAAAAAGGGAAGCTGTTTCTCTACTGTAATCACTTAAATCTCTTTGTACACAAAGCATCACATTCCATTCCCTAATTTACAATGCTAGTAAGGGGTAACTGTAGTAAGTATCACACGAACCCTGCTGCTGCATGGCCGAGGGAGATTTGTTCATGGGAGAGGCAACCCTAAGGAAGATGCGCTGCCGCCAGGAAATTCGGCGAGGAGTGACAGGGGTTCCTCCAACGTTCAGGGACTCATTGCTGCAGGTAGACGAGGTCCTTTTTCTCCCCTCTCCATCACTGTAGAAAGCACATAAATATATAACTTGCAAGGGGAACTGGATAACATGATCCTTCACAACAAAATGGCAGCACAAGCCATTCACAAGTTCTACCACGGGCAAGCGCAAGCCACAGGCAACATGGAGCGATGCATCACCAGGCACACTGGTCACCAAGGCCACCACATCCTGGGTCAGATGCAGTCCAGGCCACAGCCCAGTCATCAGAAGCTCACCTGTTTCTACTCATTCCATAGTAGCCAACCATTTCAGGTTCTAGCCTGAGCAAAGGAAGTACTTATACAGAGGAGCAAAGGTTGCTTGACTAATGAACTCATGCTTTCCTAAAATTGGCTAAAAACTAAAATCAGCAGTTATTCTAAACAACGTCAATGTTTCATAAAAGGCTCTTAAAGAGCTTTTCTTATAGCTCTTATAGGATGGCTGACAAGATAGCTTCCAGTTGCCTGTAACTGTTAAATCTGTCTCCAGAGTGTTAGCTACTAATAGCTGGATCGTGATAGAAAGTAACCAGAACAAAGGCAGAAGAGTCAACCTTGGGATTATTGTTAGGCGATATATTAAAGAAAAAAGCGCGGCCAAATGAGATTGGATAGGTTACATGTTAAAACATTAAGCAGATTTCTTTAGAGCAGGACTTCTTAGAGACTAAAATATGCTAGCATGCACTGTGATTCTCCAAAGGGATATATTATACAGAAATTCCCTAACTTACTTAAATTATTTGACCCCAGAATCAACTTCCTTAACTTTTTGGGGTGGTGAGGTAGGCAGCTGGGTATGTCACATCTTTCTACATTGCTGCTTTGGGAAACAAACATACAGAAATGCTGGTCTGCTCTAAGAATTTCATTTTCTAGGAAAGAGCACGCTAAATTCTGCTGGGGCTATCTGCAAGAAAAGGTCATTATTTTTAAAAAAGGTCATTATGACTCAAACTTAACTTTTGAGACCAATTACGTTAGCAGCCAAAATACCATGCAATAACTGTTGCTGCTCGTGGTGGGAATATTTTGCTCTTTTAAGTTTTAAAGTCTCTGAGCTTTCCTGAGAGAATGATGAAGACAACAATATTTACACGTGGTGATACCAACAAGTGAAGGTGTGCAACTTCTGATGGAACCAAGAAGTGTTAGTAGTTAGGGCAGAAAGGAAACTCAGCTAAAAAAGCCACAACCCCATGTACGTACTCAGAGGAACTCACTACGGCGAAGAAAATCAAAAGTCCGAAGAGCAATTCAGCCCTTACCTGTCATCTTTGTATTTACTTTGTGTATCCATACTCACCGTTATCAGGTAATTCAGTTATTTCTAATCTTGATCTATCTTTCTGGAACTACTGCTTCTAGATTAGCTAAATTAAGTTTAAGAAAGAGACGTAGCTTTGAGCTGCTACACAGACAGCAAGTGACATGCTGGACCACGATACTTCAGAAAGCAGCTGATACACACATCCCAATACAGTAAAATGCACTTTGTTATGTATCCTGGATAAAGTTATAACCCTAGTATGTGTCCACAGTTCACAGCTCTGCCATACTGAATGAATATATCCACCTTCACTTCGCCTTTGGAAAGCATTAATTCAAGTATTTCGTTTTTGGGAACTACGATTCAAACGTTCTATATACAATAGTTACATCCTAAGAAACAAGCTTAACCTACCCTGTATCTTCGTTTGTGTAACACTATTTCACTGGCAGTTATGTGCTGAATGCCCAACTCAAGGATGGATTTCTAGCTCCTGCTGCAGCAACTGGCTATTAATAGTAAGCACTCAACAAATATCCATGGAATAAATTAATATTGTAAAACCATTAAAAACATTAACTCAGAAGGGTAAGTAAAATGGACAAAAAATATTGGCTAGGCTAACATGTCAGGAATAAATAAAAGATCTACCTTCTTTAAACCCTTTGTTGGTAGTCACAGCATTTTACGTTTTTCTTGCAAAAAGTTCTAATAGCTCTGTTTCCCAAAAGCACAGACTGAGGTGTCGATGGCACTGGTAGGTATTGACGATGACAGTACTGGTAATAAACAACATAAGGCATCTTTTTTCCAGATAGTGAAACAGCTATATAAGGGTATCTAATTTATAATTTAAGCCTAGAAAGCTAAGTGAAATACATATGTAGAAGCAACCATTTCAATGCCTCACAGGATAAGTGTTCAATAAATAGTAGTTTCTCTTGACTTTTTAGTACCTCTAACAACAAAAATAGAATAAACCAAACCTAAGGGTTCTGAAACATTTATATTTTAATGCTGGAATTAAAACATCTTTTCCAATTCCGTGTAAATGACATATCAAGCATTTGGGTAGTACTAAATTGCCTGTAAAATATACAGTTTTGGGGGAAATAGGCTATAAAATTGGTGCATGGTGTACCCTTACATTAGCCCAATATTACAGATTTGAAAATTTCATAACATCTAAAACTTTAAATCCTGTAATCTAAATAAATTGCCAAATGATACATTTTCTTCATATGTCTGGAATTTAATGGCCAGTAACAAGCCAAAAATTAGCTGTCAAAAATATAAGATAATGCTATACTAAAAGGAAGTACTTACATAACAGACCATTGACCCTTTATCATGTACTAGAAAACGACATCCTGAAAAAGCAGTTTGGTGGCCAAGATAAGGCAAAAGCTGCCCTGCTTCATCTAGTAAGAGAAATATGTCTTCCAAAGTCAGGGTCCAGATAAGGGTTTCAACAGTCAGTGCATATATGCAACTTACAGCAATTTACTTTTTGATTTACATTTAATCAGCAACCTGACATTCCTAAGGCAGTAATTTTAAGAATCAAAACCAAGTGAAACACTTCTGTGCATCAAAATTCTTACATCTCACGTTGGAAACTTTGCTGGGCTGAGGGGGGAAACTTTTTGTTTTGTTTTTTGCTTCTTTACTACCACATTAGTTTTCACTTCAACTTCTCCTTTAACTAATCCTAGGCAAGCAAAATGTCCACCTTTTGAGTAAAAATAAAACAAAACAACGTGTGGCATTTATTGTAGTAATAATAAAGCAAATACAAAAAGACATACTATGTGCCAGGCATTATTCAAAGCATTTTACAAGTATGAACTCATTTCAACCTCACAGCAACCCTATGGGGTAGATGGCACTACAACTCCCATTTTTAGTGAGGAAATTGAGGCAGAAAGAAGCTAAGTAATTTGCCCACAGTCTCTGGAATATAAGTAGAAGGGTCACAATTCAAACCCAGGCAGCCCAGAATACAGACACTTAGGCTCTGTACTTTACTATGTCAATGTAAATACTCTTCGCATTAGTTCAGACAAAGCTCTATTGGTTCATAAAAATAAAGCTGTCAGGACTCACAGGATCCCCCACATTTCTAGTGGAAAAAAATCAGTCTCTAATTAGCATTAAGTCTTTAGGTCAGTACTTCTCTTTCCATGTCTTAATGGAAGAATGTCATTTATTTTCGCAGAGAAATAATTTCAGAGTATTATTACATTACATGTTCATTTATGTAAATGCCTCACTTCGTTTTCTTTGCTTTTGAAATCATTGCATTCCAAAATGTAAACACTTTTTTATTTTTAAGTAGGAAGATCAAATCAAAAACACATTAATATATATACCAACATACATTGGTAAATTAATTATCTTTACATTTTTTAAATGATGAAGCAAATAAGAACCATTACCTTATTTTTTCAAATAATCTTTTCCCTCCTTCTTTTGTATTTTGGAATATCAATACATGCATTATAAAACTGTTTCCCAAGAGACATATCCAGGAAAAGTATTCTGTGCCAACGTTACCTCTATGAAAATTTGTTAAATTAAAAATTAATAACTAGGAAGGAAATACAACATAGAGAATGTCCATCTATTTTTGTATTGGTATATTCTACATATACTTTCTATTACCAGTCACCAATTAATCAAGAACCACAATCCACAAACAGAAATGAGAGCTTTATAAGGGAAGAAAAAAATCCTCTACTATGTGTATCTCGGTGTAAGCTGGGAGGCGCTTCCAAGTCCTTCTGGACACAGCATCTATCAAAAGCTACGGATATGATATGAACCTTCCCACAGAGCTTCAAGATAACTTTTTAATATATCCTTGACCAAGCAGTTATAGCCTTCAGCTATTACACTAACATTACACTTCTTATATTAACACAGAATTTTTAATGCATACTTACTTGCCTGCTTTAATAAAAATTAATTCCAATAACAATAGCACTGGACATGGCACAGAATGAAGGTGTTTTAGTGACCACGCACAGGGACTCAACTTTAAGAAGGATGCAGTCATGTTTTATTTCCCACCAGGGCAACACACACACTTTTCACAAAGGTAAATAAACTCTTAGGCCAGGACCAGTTTTACAAGGCATTGTTCTGCGGGGCAGAAGCCCCCATCTCCCAACCCCCTTATTAGCACCCATCTAAAACTACCAGTATCATGAAGTCCTAATAAATGTCTACAAGCTGATTGAATCTATACCTAAATCACAATGTATTACACTCAAGATAGAAACAAAACTTGATGAATGGCATAGCAACCATTTAACAGAAATCTGAAAAGGCTTTCTCTCTGTAAATACCTCAAGAAAGGTTACATGGAACAGCACAGTGTTGAAACTTGAGTTTCTTCCACAGGACCCATAGTACAATTTAACTCATAATTGCTTTAGGTGGACTAATAGTTTACCTAAGCCCTGGCTTCAGCTGGGTAAGAATCTGTCATCCTATGGAAAATCTTTACTAATTAAATACAACTGAGAATGAGCTCGTCTAGTGGAAACGAATATATAGCATCTGAGCTGAGTCAAAAGAGATAGATTAATCAACGGGTAAAACAAAAACAGAACAAAAACAAAGAATTTTATTTCCTAAACTCTACACTGAATGAAAAACAATTTAATTAAGTTTTTTTGCATTGGAATTTAAAATATATCTGGGTAGCTCATTTGCATACTCACATCCTTATAACCTAAGGTT